GTATCTACCTGGTGGTGTGCCTGGTATCTACCTGGAGGTGTGCCTTGTATCTACCTGGAGGTGTGCCTTGTATCTACCTGGAGGTGCGCCTTGTATCTACCTGGAGGTGTGCCTTGTATCTACCTGGAGGTGCGCCTTGTATCTACCTGGAGGTGTGCCTTGTATCTACCTGGAGGTGTGCCTTGTATCTACCTGGTATGCCTGGTATCTACCTGGTGGTGTGCCTGGTATTTACCTGGAGGTGTGCCTGGTATTTACCTGGAGGTGTGCCTTGTATCTACCTGGTGGGTACCTTGTATCTACCTGGAGGTGCGCCTTGTATCTACCTGGAGGTGTGCCTTGTATCTACCTGGAGGTGTGCCTTGTATCTACCTGGTGTGCCTGGTATCTACCTGGAGGTGTGCCTTGTATCTACCTGGAGGGTACCTTGTATCTACCTGGAGGTGCGCCTTATATCTACCTGGAGGTGTGCCTTGTATCTACCTGGTGTGCCTGGTATCTACCTGGTGGTGTGCCTGCTATCTACCTGGTGGTTTACCTTGCACCTACCCTGTGGTGTACCTTGTACCTACCTGGTGGTGTACCTTGTATCTACCTGGTGTACCTTGTACCTACCCAGTGATGCACCTTGTATCTACCTAGTAATGGTGCACGTTGTATTTGTCTAGTGATGGTACACCTTGTATCTACCTAGTGATGGTGCACCTTGTATCTACCTAGTGATGGTGCACCTTGTATCTACCTAGTGATGGTGCACCTTGCATCTACCTAGTGATGGTGCACCTTGTATCTACCTAGTGATGGTGCACCTTGTATCTACCTAGTGATGGTGCACCGTGTATCTGCCTAGTGATGGTGCACCGTGTATGTGCCTAGTGATGGTGCACCGTGTATGTGCCTAGTGATGGTGCACCGTGTATGTGCCTAGTGATGGTGCACCGTGTATCTGCCTAGTGATGGTGCACCGTGTATCTGCCTAGTGATGGTGTACCTTGTATCTACCTAGTGATGGTGTACCTTGTATCTACCTAGTGATGGTGTACCTTGTATCTACCTAGTGATGGTGTACCTTGTATCTACCTAGTGATGGTGTACCTTGTATCTACCTGGTGTACCTTGTATCTACCTGGTGAAAAGCACTGTGTACACAAGATGAAGTCCCAATAATCTAGTCTCCGAACCTAATAAGCAAAACACGAGTTTTTCAAGGCTCGATACCGCTGTAAAGTAACAAGAGGCATCATTGAGCACAACGTTCATCTCCTGATGCGCTCCCTCCTCATCGCCTCGTACATGCGACTTTAGACTTTAGTGTAACGTAAAAAAAAATAATTAACCAATTTTAACAGCCCGTAAAAATATCTAGATACGGGAGTGTGTTATCTATGTAAATTGCAAAGTCAGTCATATTTACAGATAAGGATACTGTAATTGAAAAGTTAATCATATTTGAATATTGGAAGAGTCAAAGATGGAGTTGATATGGCCACTGGTCTGTCAACTATTTAAGCTGATTTATGTACTGCTAATATGATGGTATGCTCAGTCGCAGGGCGAGGAGCCGTTGCTTTGTAAACTCGACCCTCGTAGCCAATATCCACATCACCTAATGCTGGATCCAATATCTACATCTAATGTATTCATCAACGACCGGGAAACTGTTGATTATCCGTAGCGGCTTCCGAGTGTCACTGCCCCCGCAGTCCCGACCTCTTGGTTGACGGCATGGTCGATCAGATTGTAGGTGCTGACAGCACGCAATCCAGCTTAGGCACCACAGCCCGAATGATCAGGAACAAACGTCAGGAACTTATTAAGTTCTCTCTTGAAGGCAGGAAATCTCATCACACCCCTACTGCTATTCATTGTGGGTAGCTTTTTTTGTACTATCTACTGAACCTCTTGCCTTAGTATAGAGTTATTTATATGCAGATTCTGAACCAATCCCGCCGGAATTTTCCAAGCATGACTGACGATGAGTAAAGTTCAGATTTCGGTTCCCAATAATTTTGTTGCCTGAATGAATTGATATGGGAGGTGAAGGTTCTCTGTGCATTCTCCAGATCTGCGACTTCGTCAACCCTTAAAAAAAGGTAGCGAATGTACAGCAATATTCTAGAGTAAAGTATTGACAAAACTCATAGAGACAGACTACAGACAGAAGGGAGGAAACAGAACGACGGGGCATGGCTGGAAACATCAAAAGACGTTCCAGACGAACAAAATAACGAAGTCACTCATTGAAATAGCAGTACAAATAGAAGGCATTAGTTAAGGATTTAGTAAGAAGAAATTACAGAGCCATAAAGGGCAGGAAGTCAACAACACTAATCAAAATAATGCCACCACATGCATGGAAACGCACGCACACACATGCAGGTAAAATATCTTGAAATTATATATATACAGATATATATATATATATATATATATATATATATATATATATATATATATATATATATATAATAATCTTGCACCAGTGGAGCAAGTGGTATTTATCAATAACAACACTGCACTAGCCAAGGAGTCGAACCCATGCTGTTTCCGCCCGCCTCTTGATGAGAGAAAACGCATGACGCTTTAGACCACCAGACCACACAAAATTTTGGGGCTAGTGGCCTAAAGCATCATGCGTTTATTCTCACCATGAGCCGGCCAAAACAGCGTGGGTTCGACTCCTTGGCTAGTGCAGTGTTGTTATTGATCAATACCACTTGCTCCGCTGGTGCAAGATTATTATTATTATATTATTATATATTATTATTTATATAAAATATATAAAATATATATTATATATATATAATATATATATATATATTAATATATATAATATATATATATATATATATATATATATATATATGTCGTGCCGAATAGGCAGAACTTGCGATCTTGGCTTAAATAGCAACGCTCATCTTGCCATATAAGACAAGCGAAAATTTGTGTATGCAATAATTTAGCCAAAATCATTCTGAACCTAACGAAAAAAATTATATTTCATTGTGTTTTAGTATTAAATTATTATAAACAAATCTAAAATATATTTAGTTGGGTTAGGCTAAAATAAATTGGTTCTTGCTATAATAAGGTCAGGTAAGTTTTCTAAGATTCTTGTGGTGCAAAATTATAAATTTTTACATTAACATTAATGAAAAAAAAATATCTTTAAACGTGTAAGAGAAAATTTTAGAAATGACTTAATTTTAAACGAGTTCTTGCTAATTGACCAGTTTTACCTATCCGGCACGACATATATATATATATATATATATATATATATATATATATATATATATATATATATATATATATATATATATATATAATATCGTGCCGAATAAGTAAAACTTCCGATTTTGCCTTAAACAGCAACGCATTTGTTGCCAAATAGGGCAAGCGAAAATTTGTTTAAGCAATATTTTATCAAAAATCATTCTGAGTCTAATGAAAAAAAAAATATTTCATTGTTTTTGTTTATTATTAAATTATTGAACGCTTATATTAAATATATTTAGCTGTATTAGGCTAAATTAAATTGAGCTTGTTATAATAAGGTTAGGTAAATTTCCTAAGGTTCTTTTGGAATGTAAACATTAATTTTTATATTAAGATAAACGAAAAAATATCTTTAGATGTATACGAGAAAATTTTAGTAAGGGTTTAATTTTAAGCGAGTTCTTGCTAATTAACCACTTTTACCTATTCGGCACGACATTATATACATTTTATATATATATATATATATATATATATATATATATATATATATATATATATATATATATATATATATATATTTTCTTTCTTTCAACACACCAGCCGCATCCCACCGAGGCAGGGTGGACCAAAAGGAAAAACGAAAGTTTCTCCTTTTACATTTAGTAATATATACAGGAGAATGGGTTACTACCCCCTTGCTCCCGGCATTTTAGTCGCCTCTTACAACACGCATGGCTTACGGAGGAAGAATTCTGGTCCACTTCCCCATGGAGGTAAGAGGAAATAAACAAGAACAAGAACTAGTAAGAAAATAGAAGAAAACACAGAGGGGTGTGTATATACTATATGCTTGTACATGTATGTGTAGTGTGACCTAAGTGTAAGTAGAAATAGCAAGACGTACCTGAAATCTTGCATGTTCATGAGACAGAAAAAAAACACCAGCAATCCTACTATCGTGTAAAACAATTACAGGTTTCTGTTTTACACTCACTTGGCAGGACGGTAGTACCTCCCTGGGCAGCTGCTGTCTACCAACCTACTACCTAGGATATATATATACACACACACACACACACACAATACGGGACACCACAAGTATAATGTTGCTGCTGAAGCAATAAATTGGTAAAACAAACAAACGCAATCACTGTCGGGAATCCCTTAAACAAGAAAATCTTCATGAGGGACAGACATAGGAACCGTTTTTGAAGCCCCAAGTGGTATGAAACAGGCGATTAATAACGGGGAAATTCCTGCCTAAACTCCAACAAATCCCTTGTTATAATTTATTTCCAGAAAAGCGGTAATACGTTTAGCGAGAAAATATTAAATAATATTACTCCTACTGAAGCGACATGATTTTCCTTAATGGATTTTAAGCAAATTTAAAACAAGTACAGCGCATGTGAAATTATTCACTGGATATTTATTTGGTACAGGCAGTTAAGCCTGACTCAAACAGGTGTGCCAGTCACCCCCGCGTGCACGCGGGTGCGCGTACACGCACGTATGAAAACACACACACACACACACACACACACACACACACACACACACACACACACACACACACACACACACACACACACAAATTTTATTCACATATCGCCAAATACTAACCATCAGTCCAGGCTTCAGTGGTCACTTCTAACACTCGCGAGGCATATTATAATTAATCATTATAAAATTCACAAGTTTTTGAAGTATATCATTGAACCACAAAAAATGTTGGTCATGTGGGTGTGTTGATGAGTAAAGATGACAAGGGTACTCACGAAGCGATGCAAGGTAGTCATGTCTATGGTCATCCCATGACTGTGGCACCGGACTGGCCCTCTGGCTCTTGGCACTGTAGAGATGATACAAGCCGTGGTGAGGCTGTAGTGTGGGGGAGGGAGAGAGGGAGGGAACTGGAGGACGAGCAGCAGCAGCAGCTGCAGCCGCCGCCGCCGCCGCAGCAGCAGCAGCAGCAGCAGCAGGTAGGAAGTGAGAGGAAGGTAAGCAGGGACTAAAGACAGCAGGAGATGCAGCGTCAGCGGCAACAGCAGCTGGGTCAGCTGCCGTCATCTCACCTGAGGCCACTGCAACCAACCTCACCACTGCCACACCATCACCACTACCTCAGCTGCCGCCACCACCATTGCTGCTGCTACATCCCACCACTGTCACCATCACCCACCAGCAGCAGCACCACCACCACGGCTATCAACACACCCCTACACTATAGAGCCTCGTCAGAAACAACGCGACCGCCGTCGCTACCACTACCACCTCATACCCATACATACATATACATACACCCCCTCCTGCACACACACCCCCACACCACAAACATTACACCCACCCACCCACACACACACACACACACACACACACACACACCTAGGGGCAGTGTCTGGCCACCGCACCACCACCACCGCCGCCACACGCCGCCGCTGAGGCACCTCGCGTCACAACTGAATGAACCACCACCACCGCCACTTCCTCTCTTGCCTCTCTCACACGGCGCACGCTCACACAAACACACACACACACACATATCAAAACATCCACAAACACACATATGCACACACACACGCATCACCTCTCGTATCATCTCGCCTCACACACACCTGAGTGTAAACGACACTTTATAAAGCTTCATAAGCGCTCGCAATCACAGCAAAAACAAATGAAGGCGGCAGAATAAATAAAGCTGACTGGAGGTTGTGGATGCCACCACCTGCTCTGAGAGAAGCTGCCTCACCTGGAGAGACCATGCTAGGGCAGGACCAGCCCTCCCACCCACCCCTCCCCGCACCTCAAACCACTACTTCCCTCCCACCCAACCCTACCGTTTGCCCCTATCTCCCACTCCCTCCCTAATAACTCCCTCCCTCCAGTCCTCATTCCCCTCTCTGATCTATCTTCTCAACGAGAGTACGAACAAAATCAAATGCAGTGGTTGAGTATTAGGGTGCAAGGGAAGGGATAGAGTGGGCGAGCACACACACACAAAACAGGCCAAGTACCTATCGATAAATGCATCTGACAAATAGAAACCCACACACACTAAGCCATGGAATGTGGAATGTTAGGAAGTACTTTCTCTGTCAGAGTGGTGAGCAAGTTGCATACATTAGACGAAGTGGGAGATAAACAATATTCTCGTTCTTTTGTTAACTTGTCTTCCCTCTCTGTTCAATGTCCGAAAATGTTGCTGAAAGATAACAAGGCATTATTAGGGGTTCTAGTACACTCCCTATGTATCCCAAACCTGCCTAAGTTACAATAACACTCGTGTAACACAAACCTGCCTAAGTTACAATAACACCGTAACACAACGCTAAGAATAAACTCGTGAACACAAACCTGCCTAAGTTACAATAACACTCGTGTAACACAAACCTGCCTAAGTTACAATAACACTCGTGTAACACAAACCTGCCTAAGTTACAATAACGCTCGTGTAACACAAACCTGCCCTCTTGAGGGCAGGTTTGTGATACATGAGCCTAAGGCTTAAGAAGTCCAGAAAAAAAAACAGAGGATTTAAGAAAAAAGTAGCAGGGCATTGCCAAGAGTATGCCAAGGTGTAAAGGAGTGACACTGAGGGGAGGGGAGGGGAGGGGAGAGGAAGGGAAGTTAGACTATAGAAGGGAAGGGGAAAGGAAGGGGGTTGACAGGTACGTGGTTCTTAACTTATAATAGTATACGCAACGCCTACTTCACCTTTGATGTACCACTCATTCTCTCCCTTCTCCCCTCACTATCCCCCCTCCACCTGACTACCTGAAGTTTGCCAAACCACCCCCATCACCCCATCGCTCCCTAGATTACATTTTGTCGCAAGGGGATAATTTACTGGGCAGCATCACTCATCCTCAGAGTGAATGCACCGTCATATTACAATATATATCAGCCCAAATAGTTGTCACGCCAATGGCAAAATCAACTTCTTCCTTGACTGTTTTAATTCTGGGTAAGAAATGGTACTAGGTACCGATAAGTCCGATACAAGACATGTACAGTACTTGGATATTTACTAAAACGTTACACTATATACACCATTAGTAAGGTCTCGCATAGATAATGAAGCTCAGTTCTTGTCACCATACTACAGAATGGATGGACGGATATATATATATATATATATATATATATATATATATATATATATATATATATATTATATATATATAATATATATATATATATATATATATTTCAATAAACAGGCCGCACCCCACCAGGGCAGGGTGGCCCAAAAAGAAAAACGAAAGTTTCTCTTTTTAAATTTAGTAATTTATACAAGAGAAGGGGTTACTAGCCCCTTGCTCCCGGCATTTTAGTCGCCTCTTTCAACACGCATGGCTTACGGAGGAAGAATTCTGTTCTACTTCCCCATGGAGATAAGAGGAAATAAACAATATTAAGAACTAGAAAGAAAACAGAAGAAAACCCAGAGGGGTATGTATATATATGCTTGTACATGTTATGTGTAGTGTGACCTAAGTGTAAGTAGAAGTAGCAAGACGTACCTGAAATCTTGCATGTTCATGAGAAAGAAAAAAGGACACCAGCAATCCAACCATCATGTAAAACAATTACAGGCTTTCGTTTTACACTCGCTTGTCAGGACGGTAGTACCTCCCTGGGCGGTTGCTGTCGACCAACCTACTACCTTAGACAGGGATGTGTAATGTCACCATGGTTGTTTAATATATTTATAGATGGGGTTGTAAAAAGTAAATGCTAGGGTGTTCGGGAGAGGGGTAGGGTTAAATTATGGGGAATCAAATTCAAAATTGGAATTGACACAGTTACTTTTTGCTGATGATACTGTGCTTATGGGAGATTCTAAAGAAAAATTGCAAAGGTTAGTGGATGAGTTTGAGAATGTGTGTAAAGGTAGAAAGTTGAAAGTGAACATAGAAAAGAGTAAGGTGATGAGGGTATCAAATGATTTAGATAAAGAAAAATTGGATATCAAATTGGTGAGGAGTATGGAAGAAGTGAATGTTTTCAGATACTTGGGAGTTGACGTGTCGGCGGATGGGTTTATGAAGGATGAGGTTAATCATAGAATTGATGAGGAAAAAAGGTGAGTGGTGCGTTGAGGTATATGTGGAGTCAAAAAACGTTATCTATGGAGGCAAAGAAGGGAATGTATGAAAGTATAGTAGTACCAACACTCTTATATGGATGTGAAGCTTGGGTGGTAAATGCAGCAGCGAGGAGACGGTTGGAGGCAGTGGAGATGTCCTGTTTAAGGGCAATGTGTGGTGTAAATATTATGCAGAAAATTCGGAGTGTGGAAATTAGGAGAAGGTGTGGAGTTAATAAAAGCATTAGTCAGAGGGCAGAAGAGGGGTTGTTGAGGTGGTTTGGTCATTTAGAGAGAATGGATCAAAGTAGAATGACATGGAAAGCATATAAATCTAGGGGAAGGAAGGAGGGGTAGGGGTCGTCCTCGAAAGGGTTGGAAAGAGGGGGTAAAGGAGGTTTTGTGGGCAAGGGGCTTGGACTTCCAGCAAGCGTGCATGAGCGTGTTAGATAGGAGTGAATGGAGACGAATGATACTTGGGACCTGACGATCTGCTGGAGTGTGAGCAGGGTAATATTTAGTGAAGGGATTCAGGGAAACCGGTTATTTTCATATAGTCGGACTTGAGTCCTGGAAATGGGAAGTACAATGCCTGCACTTTAAAGGAGGGGTTTGGGATATTGGCAGTTTGGAGGGATATGTTGTGTATCTTTATACGTATGCTTCTAAACTGTTGTATTCTGAGCACCTCTGCAAAAACAGTGATAATGTGTGAGCGTGGTGAAAGTGTTGAATGAATGAAAGTATTTCTTTTTTGGGATTTTCTTTCTTTTTGGGTCACCCTGCCTCGGTGGGAGACGGCCGACTTGTTGAAAAAAAAAAATTATATATATATATATATATATATATATATATATATATATATATATATATAATATATATATATATATATATATATATATATATATTATACACACACACACACACGTACAATGTAAGCCTTCAACCTACACTTCCTTGAAAGACGAAAAATGAGAAGTGGAAGGTGTGTGTAAATAAAGGAGGTATAAATAAAGGAAATTAAACAAGGTGACGAGGATATAAAAAAAATCAAATTGGATTTATTAACATTTAAAAAATATGTAGGAAAATAACGTTTCTGCAATCGAGTTGAAGAAGAGTAAAACAATCTACCAGGTTGGACAAATATATGGACGAACAGTACAGGCCAGTCAGCTTATACTATTTGTCCTCTATTCTTAAGGTCTTACAACAATACATTATCTTCAGGTATGATAACCTTCGCAATTACCTTTATCTACCAGCATCATTCCTTTGTTTTAAACATATTTTCTACAAGGACGAAAAGTCATCAACAGCCAACGAAAACTAGACATACATATTTTTCCCTACATGCAGCGCCGCCTCCACTATCAAGAATAATTTAACATTATAAGCTGTCAAGCTATTGTTATAATCTCTTGATGAAAGGTCACAAGTGCCTTATCTTTCGACGTCTTCATTGGATATGTTTCAGTCCTGGGACCTTAGTCACCCCAAATATTACAGAAGAATGAGACAGCACATGAAGAATGCAAGTTACTGCAGATGGTCAGGTCAGATAGCAGCCGAGAAGCCTGCTGCAGTTATGTGTACCGCGGTTGAGATATATTTGCCAATACTTTATTGTATGGTTTTGGAAATAACAATTAAGAGGGGTTCAATACAATGATGAATATCTCTGTCAGGCTCTTTAAGATTATTTTATCTTGTTTCTTTATATCTGTTTACGACACAATCGTTGCTCATGTAATCTCGGCTGCACGCATACACGAGTTCTTGAACACATGTAGAAGGATTCTTGCAGGTTTCTCCCAGGCAGATCTTGTCGCAGTCCCTGCCTAGTACGGTGCATACTCCTGCTTTACAACTGGGTGTGTCATAGGGATCGTTCTTCCTGGAGAAGTTTCTGACAGGAGTCGTGAACATGACAGCCACGTGGATATTGCTTCTAGAAAGGACCTATGTGAAGTTAGTAGTCAGTCTTCCAGGGAGAATCGAGAATCTGGAATTCTGGGTTGAGGCGCTGTTGGCAGTTTTGACTATGGTCTTGGCTTTGGACCTGCAATCTTGTATTAAGTAGAGAGTGAA